CTCTGCAGCAGTAATTTCGCAGGCCAAACTTCTGCCTATCGTTGGAGAGTTTGATGCATTTTGTCCTTTAACAGAGACAAGAATTACCTACTTTGACTGTAAAGGATGTTTGACTGACATGCAGAATAATCTACCACAGACCACGGTTTCATCGTGGTGTGTATGGGCGGATGATGATTCAAAACAGGGTGTCCAACAAAACAAAAAGATGCATACCAGTTTGTTTCCCGCATCTGCAAACATGTGAGGTTATTTTGCTTATAACGCTTCGAAGAAAACTGAGCTTATTTTTTGAACGAAAACACCTCAGAACAAACCTGCAGTGAAAATGACTGTGGCCGTGAATAAGAAATGATGAAAAGGTGTTGCTGAGGAACGTATAATACCTTACATGCACTATTCTGGTCATCTAGAGGATGGTTTTGATTGTATTTTCTTTCCAAAAGCTGAAAAAAATATTGCACTAAACTATGTGGAGGACCTCACAGCTTAATGAAAAAAACATTAAGAGGGAGAGTTGTGCTAGCTCTAAGGTAAGCTAAACTTTATCTAGGTTACTGTATTCTCTGAAAATCATTTTAATATGATGTTTAATGATGACTAATGTTACAGAGGCATGTTAATCTGCTGGCTAACTAATAAGCTTTTCTTAGCTGCTTACAGTTAACTTGATGAATCAGTCAGATTAAACAGTACTGTACAACACACATTTGAGATTGAAAAATTGTGTGTAAAGAGGAATATTAATGCACTTGTACAGATACTATTCTTTGTAGTGTTTAATTAAAGTTTGCTAAAAGACCTTGTATAAAAGATGATGAGTCCACCTTAGCACTGATGTTCAACATCTAACGTTGCTCTGACTAGCTCCATTGCCCTAAACCTCCAGTTCAGTGCCCCAGCATTAGAATTCGAAGCTCCAGTTGCAGTTAAGATATAAATGTGAGAGTCTGTCCCATAGAGAATGTAGCTTTCTACCCGTCATTGTCAGTTTTATGCAGATTAAAATAGCATTTGACAAAAGGGACACACAAGATACAGGAGAGATAAGGAGAGATGAGAATTTAGCTGCAGATAATATCTTGTCTAATCTTAGTACCTTATTGTGGTTTCTGCTAAAACTCAAAAGGGGACGCGTGACATTTCCGAGAAACATCTGAGCAACAGGAGACTAAAGCAAAAGTCTGCTTTGTTTTTCTATCTAATCTCATTTGTCTAGGAGGAACTAAGAGATGTTTAGGAGATCCCTTTTTTGATTTTTCTTTCCTATGGGTAGGTTTTTCAATTAGCCCCCCCCCCCAATTTCTTTGTTCATCTCAGCTGCCTGATTTTAGCTTATGTTCTCTTCGTTGTTTAAACATGCCTGTGGATTTATTGTGCAGCGTGTTTCAGTGTTGGTTGGGTGTACGTGAATCCTGCATTCAAGTTGTTTGCTATTGTTTTGTATCACCAAAGGACTGAAGCAGTGGAATAGGAAGGGTTATGACTATACGTCTGTCAGGAATAGGCTGTATGTAGGCCTTATGTAACGACATTGCTTTAGAGCTCCTTTGGAAATTAGATCTACCAAGCTGGCCCACCCCTTTTTCACCAGCCTGCCCAAAAGTGTATTTCTGCCTGTGCCACTGCGTGTACATAGAAAATGTAAAATGATACAAGTGCAGTGTTTGTAGTGAAGGAGATCTAGAAAAATAATATAAAAAAAAGACAGTTGTTTTGTATCACTGGCAGTTGTTGCCTGAGCTGAATTTGAATGGGAGATAAATAGATAAGTGCAGACAACTGAAGAGAAAAAAAATGATTAAAGATTTTTAAAGAAGTATAAACTTCACTTTGCAGTCATGTACTTTTTTTTCATGCCACCTTGCTTGACATGAACAAGCATAAATTGATTCATTTGCATTTAAACAACGTTTCCCAGTGTCACCTTCGGTTGGTGTGCTACAGTCCAGTAACCATAGCAACATTGCAATGTATGGGAGGAAAGATCTAGGACATTGGGGTGCAGCACATTTTGTGCTGAGTGTGTGTATGAAGAAACTACATAATGTAAAGGTATAAGTGTACAACAGTGAGTTGAGAGAGACAGAGAGAGGTTGAATTGCAGTGTTTTCTCTGGGGTGTTCTGATTTTAATCTCTGGACTCATAATTATGTGGAAGGAATGCAAATTTGTGTGTGCATGCATGTGTATATTGCACAGTTTTGCAGATCAATATTGCTGATGGTCAGAAAGCTGAGCCTTTCTTTGGTTCTGCATTTGTCAGCATTTGTGTGAGAGAGAGAGAGAGAGAGAGAGAGAGAGAGAGAGAGAGAGAGAGAGAGTGTGCGCATCTGTGCATATTAATGCATATATGTGCACAATCCTGTACATAGCTGGAAAACAGGAATGCACCCTGTTCGCACCATGTAATTATATACCTGGAGTCATGTTAAAAGAGTGTACCTAATGGCAGTTAATGACAATAGAAGTCATTTCTTTGTGTGTGTGATGCAACCCACAGAGAAGTGTACAGTAATGATATACTTCTACCTGCAGGGCAAAGAAGGGGTGGACAGCAGAACCCTGTTGTTATGAGTTTCAAAGTGACATTTAGTTTTCATAAGGCTCTGTCTTGAGTGAATGTGTGTGGTGTGAAGGAAGAATTCAATAAACCCCACATTCTTACCACATTCTCTTGAGGACATTTCATTATACCTTTTGAAGCCAGAAAGAAGATAATGCCTTATGCCTTGGTGATGTGGTATGTTGTTTATAAGATCATGAAGTGAATCTATATTTTGCATTATGGCTAGATGTGATGGTGGCAGGAAGGGTGTTAAGAAAATGTTTATTTTTATGTTCACACAGGATGTTCAGACACTTCATGAGGAACTAGGGCCGGTTAATGATGTCTTTATAGCTTGACTGGTTGAAGTTCGCAATTCGTTGTTTCCTTCTTGAGATTTATTGCCCAAGTAAGTTGGTTGCCAGTTCGTTAGCCCCATCCGATAGTGACACTGCCATGCAATTTAGACAAAAAGAAGTACTTTTCAAATAGACATCAATGATCAAAGTGATTGGCGATAAGTCAGAATGCACTGCCACCATCTTTTGTGTGTGGTGCACAGCGAAGATTCATCATTTTATACTGAAATTACAATTTGAAAGAATGTCATTTTCTAATCACAAGAGCTGCAGTTTTAGCTTAAACCTACATTATCAGCATCATTAATAAGGTCAAAACCTTATCACAAAACTATGATAAAACAATGTCTCAGGCATCAGACTATTTCATGTAATAACTTTGTGAAGGAGCTTGTTCTGTTCAGTAAGTTTCTCTAGAACAGATTATTTCACATCAGACCAGTCTGAATGACTTTGTTTACTTCTTAACCCTTGTGCAGATATTTTAGAATATGAATGGAATTCCCTTTTAAGTGGGGAAATTTAACTATATAAAGCTGAGCTTGTGAACTGACGTTAGATGAGTCAGACCAATAAGAAGCAACAGAACACCCGTGTGCTGTGTACATAACAACCACAACTAACTGCCAGTCTTATACATTTTCTCTAAATTGTGCAGCCCAGGTAGTTTCACACTTAACCAGTGAAATTCAGTTCAGTAAGTTTGACATTAAAGCTGCAGAATCCAGATGTTGTAGAGCTCATCAATGCTGAGTTTATCAATACAAGCATTCAGCGGTCAGTTTTACCATCCTGCAGGGCTGTTGGCCATGTGTTCAGTCCTACAGCAGGTGCAGCAGTCACAATACAAAGGTGAGCATTAGCACAGCCAAGAAATTTCACCTGGCAACCCTTCTGAGTCAGGAGTGTTACAAGCAGTGAAGTGCAGGTGGCCTCCAAGAATTGACCATATTTATAAACTATATATATATACAGAATGATCCGCTGCTCTGTGGGGCTCCTGTGATGATCCATGTATAATTATAATAATCTGTCTGCAAATGACACAAAAAAGTAAAACATTAAAAGAAATGAAAAATAAATTATTTTTTACTTCTTTGTAGGCCCACAAAATATGAGCATATAATGGTTTTTTTTTGTTTTTTTTGTTTTGTTTTTTTAAATCGTTATTCTGGTGGTGTTGGAGGTAAAAGTGAAGGTGCTGACTAGGGATGAAACAACATGGGGATTGTAGGTCAATGCCTGTATTTTTCGTGTCTGCATCTGGCGATATGTAAACATTTATAAAATGTAGAAATGTAACATTTTGTTCTTATAGTGTTACCTAAATGTTCTGCCTTTCCAGAGTACAATAAATACATGATTCCTATATCAGCATGCATCCCTGGTGTAACCATAACTATTTCTGTTACTGAATGTCTTTTAGTTGGTAGAGGTTAGCAACGATGTACTGGCCTCTACTAAAGGAAATGCTGCCTCCTCAGAGATCTGATCTCTTTATGGTGATCTGGATCATTATTTGCATTGAACAAGCATTGATTGCTTCTCAAAGTTGTAAACTAAGGTCTGTTTATGAACAGCTCTATATACGGTGGATTTGGGTAAAGTGGGATAGATTAAAGAATATTTTTATTATTATTTAATAGCCTAATATTTCTACATTGCAATGTTATGATAGCCAGCCACAGTATGGATTTAAAGAATACACACATGCTTAGTTTTTCTTTTTTCCACACTATTGCTATTTAGCAATATTCAACAATGTTGCTAAATAAAGAATTTAGTTTTTATTTGCACTGGGTGGACGAAACCCTTTGTGTGTTGCTGAAAACAAATACGCCAGAACCTATGGAGTAACACAAAATTGAGACACAAAAAAATGGAACAAACATGATTAACTTTTTTTAAATAGTATGGAATGAAGCTTAAAGCTTTGACCTAATATATTCAGTGTTGTTGTTCAGTCATTTTATTCAAGTAGTTATGGAAAGCTTGTATTGATAGATTCATGTTTCCCCATTGAGAATGGCAAATTTAACAAATATTCACCCAATATTTTCTTTCTATTAATTCTGTTATTTTTTTTCCACCAGATGGTACAAGCTTCACTCTAAGACTGGTAAAAAGGAGAAGGAGAGGGGAGAGCTGCAGGTTACAGTGCAGTTTACTCGCCACAACCTAACGGCCAGCATGTATGACCTCTCTATGAAAGACAAGCCACGATCTGCCTTTGGCAAACTGCGAGAGCGGATGCGAGCCAAAAAACGTGGTGGAGATGAAGAGTCCTCCTCAGCCATTGTCCCTGGGGGCTATGGGGCCCTGGCACGGATGAGGGGACGGCTGCCCAGTGATGGAGGTGGAGAGGAAGACTATGAGGACGATGAAGGTGGGGAGCTGAGGAGGAGTAAGATGAGGAGTTTCTTCCTGCGGGGAAGGTTAAGGAAGTCTTCAGACACGCGCTCCAGCACCTCTCTGGGCTCAGAGAGCAGCGAGTCGTCTTCCAGAGGGGGCAGCCTCAGTCCCACTGCTGGCATTAGTGTGGTGGTCTCTGATCTGTCCAACTCCCCCAGCAACAGCAGCAACCTGACTGCAGACAACAGCCCAGGTATATTGTCAGTATTGTTTTAAAAAAAAAAAAATGCCTTAACTTTTTTTTTTTTTCATTTGAACATGCCAGCTGCCATTTACATTTTGTGAATGTTTCATAATAAATAGACCAATACATTTTTGGAAGAAAGGCTAACCATTCATGTTGCATCAAAAGATTAATGGGTGGAATTCTCTCCCCTCTCTCATTAAACTGCTTCAGAGATTTGAGGTTTTAGAATTTAAATTACTGCATTATTACTCATTGATATTTAGTACAGCTTTATGCAGGCCTGAGATTTTAGTCCAAGTATAGCCTGAGGATATCCTTTCCTAGCCCAACCTGAACCAGTACTCAGCATGGCATATTGAGCCTGATCTAAACCCACCCCAGCCCAAACCACATCATGTTTTGTGTCCAGAACTGGCCGGAGTATGACTGAAACTGCCTCGAACCAGTCCATATTCGCTCAAAGTGCAAAATAAACCTGACTAGAGAGTCACGGTTACCATGGACTGAAAGTAATAGTTGTCATTAGAGCACAGATAAATGAAATGTAGATGTGGTTTAATAATCAGCTGTGCAGAATTAATTATTTTATTAGTCAAATAGTCAATGCTTTTGAACAGCATCTCAAATGGTTTTATTAACGTTCCATACTGTGCTGTTCTCACACTGTGCAGGGCTGACATAGCAAGATGCTATCCTTCACCTGTTTAATGCCAAAACTGACTGTTTATGTCCCATTTTCTCATGACTGTGGGCCTCAAGCTGTTCCAAAACCCTACACCAACTTTACACTAATCATTGTCATAGCCCAAAGGCCAAACCGTAACAATTAGCAGTATTAATGAATGAGGACTAACAAAACAAGCCTTAAGGTTATTTTGTCATTTTACTGTTTTCGTGTGGACATTTAGTCGCTTAAACCATGCATATTTTTTATGTTGTAAGAAAAATTGTTATTGCATCTCTATAACTGAATTAAACTCTTTTTCTTTCACTTCTTCAGAGCACACAGTAGCACCCTCACCGCAGGTCTCTCCTGTCAGGCACATGTTTGACGATGAGCCATGTGACTTTAGCATCCCGGTGCCTCGTTCCCTAAAAAACAACAATGACACCCCCATTCTCCTGCCCTCTGTCTGTGTGAATGGCAATCCAGTGGAGACATCTCCACTCACTCACCAACCGCCCTCGCTGATACTGCAGCAACCCAAGCCACAGACCCAACAAGAGCCAACCAAAACTCCACCTCAGAAGAGTTCACCAGAGAAAACCAAACTGACTCAGGCTCAAATAGCAAAACTTCCAGAACCCAAACCCCAACCCAGCGCAGAGCCTCAGAGCCAGCTGCCTAAGGTGGAGTCTAAGCTCAGGCCTGAGCATCAGCTGCCTACGCTAGGCTTGCTGAAGAAGGGCTCTGCACTCTCCCTCTCCTTGCAGAACATCTCTCGCCGTGGAGAAGAGCACCAGGGTGGAGGCCCAATAGATGGCCGCCGCTGGTCCTTTGATAAACCTGGAGAAGAAGAGAAAGCTGCCATCGCTGCTGCTCTGGAGCATGCTGGGTTGGTTTCTGATGAGCCCGAGGTGGAGACGACTGTTTCTGAGACAGAAGTTCAAAGCAAGAAGAAGCGGGGCTTGTTTTCACATGGGCGGGGCAGTGAGTCTGCTGGAAAAGGCTCAGAAGGCCAGCCACCTACAGAAGGAAAACACAGAGGATGGTTCAGCTCTAAGGACAGTAAACCCAGGTAAACAGCAATATTGCCTATACATTACAAAGAGGCAAAAAAGTTAGTAATAAAGGAGGCGGGCCATGTGTATGTGCTATCAGTTGCTGCCGTGACTAGTATCAGCATCTGCATTGCAGAGAGGGGCGTTGCCCTGGAGACCTGAATGCCTGTGTATTTATCCCTTTCTCTCCTTCTCCCTGTCCCTCTCTATCCTTTGTGTTTCTTCTACATTCTGTCACTCTGTCCTCAACATTCTGTTTGTTTCTTGTCATTCAGAGGTGACCATGCATGGTGGACCTGATGCTTATTTAGAACTGTGGGTGTGTGTGAGGTGTGACAGTGGGTTTCTAAAGAAGTCTCAATTATTTTTGGGCAATGATCTTAACCAGTTGCACTTGTTGTTCCTGTCCTTGGTGTGTGCATTTACCATTTAGAAAGTACATTGTGTACACATACTGGCTTGGCGAGGGGATTCATTTCTTAAATGAAGACTGAAGAGTGACACCCATGCATATACACCGATCAGGCATAACCTTATCACCACCTCCTTGTTTCTACGCTCATTGTCCATTTTATCAGCTCCATTTACATATATAGGTGCACTTTGTAGTTCTACAACTACAGACTGTAGTACATCTGTTTCTCTGCATACTTTGTCAGACACAGCAGTGCTGCTGGAGTCTTTAAACTCTGTGTCCACTCACTGTCCGCTCTATTAGACACTCAAACCTTGTCAGTCCACCTTGTAGATGTAAAGTCAGAGACGATAGCTCATTTGCTGCTGCATAGTTTATATTAGTCATCCTCTAGTCCTTCATCAGTGGTCACAGGATGCTGCCCACAGGACACTGTTGGTTGGATATTTTTGGTTGGTGGACTATTCTCAGTCCAGCAGTGACACTGAGGTGTTTAAAAACTCCAGCAGCACTGCTCTGTCTGATCCACCCAGACCAGCGCAACACACACCAACACACCACCACCACATCAGTGTTACTGCAGTGCTGAGAATGATCCACCACCCATATAGTACCTGTTCTGTGAGGGTCCATGGGGGTCTTGACAACGGAAGAACAGGGTAAAAGGGGGATAACAAAGTATGCAGATAAACAGACGGACTACAGTCTGTAATTGTAGAACTACAAAGTGCACCTATATAGTAAGTGGAGCTGATAAAATGGACAATGAGCGTAGAAACAAGGAGGTGGTCATAATGTTATGCCTGATCGGAGTACATACATCAGTGGCTATACTTGGGCACCATGAGAACAACCTTTTTAGTATCTCCCTGAGAGCATGACCACAACAAATACGCTACTCACGAATTCATGAAACTTCTCTCACTAAATCTTTCACTTTGTTTATGAATATTATTAAATATGTTTGAGGTTTGGTGCTTAATCATTAATCTAAGTGTTTATATTTTCATGAATTCGAAAATTCATGAAATTTCTTTCACTTAATCTTTCACTTTGTGCAAATTATTAATTATGTTTATTGATGTTGGAGAGGACTGGTGCTCAATCATTCATCTGTTTATATTTTCATGCAAAAGTAATTAAAGTGTGTATGCATCAATATGACTGTGGTGAAACATCACAGTAAACGTTATTTCACTAACCTAGATTACGTTTAGGCTGTAGCCTCCTTTCCATTTTTATTCTTTCCCTCTCTCTGGTTCTGCTGCTCTATCAATCTTCTGATATGGCTGGATGATCATTATGGTGTTTCTTAGCTCGGCAGCGGTAGCTCTCTGCAGTGCTGCAATATAAAGCAAATGTAGCCTCATTCACTTACTCACTCTGTCACTCACTTGCACTCGTTTTGATCCTCAAACGTGGGTTTGGTTTCTGTGTGAGGGTTTGTGTTACCTCCTGCAATACTGTAGATGAGTAGCAGTCTTTTACAGAGCCACTGTCCTGTCTCTGTTATACAATGAACAGAACTGTAGTACCAGGTTAATAATGGCAGCCTGAATCCTCTACATCTGCAGTGTTGCTTAGAATTGTTCACAAAATGAATTGCCTTTTTTTATTGTTAAAAATGCCACTGCCTTAGAATAATACTGCACTTGCAATAGCAAGCACAAATTAATCATTTACATCTCTGGTATGTAGTGTGTAAATGTTAAACTGCTGGGACAGCAGTCACTAATGGTGTGGACTGTATGTGCCTTCCTTTCACAGCCAGCTGGTTGCTCCTCATGCAGACTCCAGCTCCAGCGCAACCATGCCCCTTTCACCCCTCACCCCAACTGACCCCTCACAGGGCATGACTCACCAACACACTAACCCATTCACCTCACCCCCATTGCTCTCTTCTGCCAACCCTTTCTTTTCTCTTCTGCAGCAGAATCCTTTCTTCCAGGAACTGTGTACAGTTAATCCTATAACTGATTTACCCTCTCCCTTTAGCCCCGCCCCCTGCCAACCTGAGGCACCTCCCTCCAGTACAAGGAAGCTCACCCTTCTTCCAGCTTTAGCTAAGGCTGGAAATACAAACGAACACCCAGCTGACGGAGCATCAGACACAACCACCGATTCAAACAAAATTGACTTATCAGACGATCACTGTGTGAATCCAACCATCTCCCGATCTGAGAAAAATTCTGACTGGGACAACTTCATTAGTGATAGATTAAAGCCCTCAGATCACCTAAAGAATGAGACTCTGACAAATAATCTTCCTCCTGCACTGAATGAACCATCTGGCCCGAAACCCCCATGTGTTGAGAGTGGGCTGGCGGTGTCTAATAAGGGTGACGCTCTAGGAAGTAACACTAGCCCAGCATGCACTTTGATTATAGATAATTTAAAGCCTTCTAATACACTTCCTCACCCTTCAGGAAGTGAAATTAATTCCATTTGCTCCAACATTTTCAATACTGACCTCGATTCTGTTGTTCAGGAAGCTCCACTGTCTGACTTTGACTCCTCCTTGCCTCTGAACTCAAACATGGAGTTCTCTGAACTGAATGCATTAGCCTGCCCTTACCCTGCACTTTCAGGCTGTTCTGTTAATCAGGACAAAGCAATTGCAGTCTCAGGCACTCAGCATTTTGTGGAGGAGTCTCAGATCTCATCCCTGTGCAGCACTTCATCGAGTGCATTATCTGAGGCATTTGTAATTCCTGAGGTTTCAGCCCTTGGCTGCAAATCACAAGATCCTCAAGGGCTTATAGTGGACGTAAAGGCCGATCAGGAAACGGTCAACAACCTTTCCTCCCTAATGTTGACAGATGATGACGCTGATAAGTCTGTGGAAACCCTCACAACATCGGTGCCTTCCTGTAAACACTTTAGCTCAGATGATACCCTGGAACCTACCGTCATAACTTTGGGCACATCAGACAAAAATCTTGACCTTCAGTTATCAAAGCCATTACAAACGGGGATGAGCAACTTCAAATCGGATGATAGTAGCAGAACAGATGAAAGGGAGACTGTGATTAAAGATAGAACACATTTGGATGATTCTCTTCTTGCCTCTACAGCAGCAGATCCTTTTGAGTTTTCAGTTCCTTCAGGCACCAATGACTGTGTGTTAAAAACAAGAGTTGTGATGGAGGAGAAAGATGCTGCAGGTGAACAAGTGTATATGTCCTTAGATAGAAGCGAAGTTAGTCTTGTCAGAGAAGGCTCACTGATTGATAACTTGGAAGTTGTCTTGACTTCTTCTCCCGGAGTCTCAGGCAATGTGCCTTTGATAAAGGAGGAAATCAGTGACTGGCAACCTGATCCATCCAAGGGTGACTTCAAGGTTGACGTTTTTACTGGCACTCATAGCGGACATCCGGAGGTAGAGATACTGCGCGGTGGCAGACAGACACTGTCTGTAGGTTGTCTCCATCCACTTAGTAAGAATGTGAGCATGGAGGCAGAGCCAGCTGCACTAAACCTGAATGCAGCACTGTCTCCTGTCAGCATGCTCTTGCACAGCCTGTATACAAGTGCAGACTCTGAGCAGTACCTCACCTGCAGGTCACAGCACAATTTCAGCTCTCTCTCTGAGCTCTCTCAGGAACCCAAGACAAAACATGACCCTTTTCAAGAAGCCAAGCCAAAATGTGTCTTATCCCAAGAGGTCTTGCCAATAAATGACCTAGCTCAGAGGAGCATGCCAGAAATACAGTATGACCACAAAAGACCTGAGCTCTTTGAAGAGCAAAAAAATGTTGAGGAGGTTTCTCAGTATAATGCCTCAAATCCACCAGTATTTCATACCTTCAAGCCCAAATCTGACCCTTCAAAGAATATTTTAGTAAACTTTGACACCATAGAAGAGGCCATGCTGAATAGTAATACAAATGAAGCAGTACTGGACTGCAATCCTTCTGTGGATGTAATGTTAAACCACGGCTTGCTACAGGAGGCAACTTTGTCAAAGGTTGATACCTCTCAGAAGATGATGGTAAGGCCAGAAGAAGAACTTCTGGAGTTAGACCCACAAAAATGTTTGTTGGATAACAAGAGCTACACGCGTGCCCTACAGGACCAGAGGTTCAGCCAAGATTTTTGTCAGTCAGCTGAGAATATATGTGGCTCTGATGTCCCATCTGAGCCAACCTCCAGCATTACCCAGGACCTAGTTAAAACAGATTTGCTCCTGGAGAATATTTTTGTGCCCCAGAACACTGCAGCACATACTGCCAGCACAAATCCTCTCGAACACCCTGTGCCTGTTGAGGCTTGCACTGATGTGGTGTTATGTCCTGATCGAACTGAGACTTCAAACACAAGTAAAAATGCAAAGGCAGCATCTACTGATGTTCCTAATGTAAGGGCCTACTTGGACAGCCCTAGATACTGGCCCTCTACAGCTGAACCACTTCCCAAACCCTCAAGCCTGGATCGGCCGACCCTGCCTTCAGGGCGTGATGTCAACTCAAACTTTTCCCTTTCTTTGCTTGACCTCTCACCCCTAGCCTCCTCCACACCACAAATGGCAGTAAGCACTAATGCTTTCCCCCTTTTCCCCTTTCCCGTAACGCCCTTTACTCCAGCAAATTCATCACCAAGTATTGTGCTGGCTGCTGCCTCTCTTCCCCCTACACAGTCTGTATCGCATACCCCTTTTTCCCAGGAAACACATCAGGTGCCCACTCATCTCAGCAGGTGAGGTTAAATGGTTAGTGGTCAAGATGAATCAGACTGAGGGTGGATGGGTGGGTAATGCAGTCTCTGTGCAGTTTCTGTGTTCTATATTTCATACACACAAAACTTCAAAGAAATAAAGAGGCTTTACAGATCTGTATAAAATATGCATTACTCATCCTGCCCAAGTCCTTGATGGATGGAGTTTATATGTGTTGCGTATTAGTGAGAACGCAGTTCATGCCAAGTAAGAATTATTTGATTGGCTTAGAATGTGAAAAGCACATAAAAGCTCCACCAGGAATAATTAAATCTATAGTGTTATGTGGTGGTGGGGGGAGTTTTCTAATAATAATACTGGACTTTTTAATTCTTTCCTTCTTTCTCCACAAAGTGCACCATCTTCCTGACTTCTTCCAATCATATTTCCTGTGATACATGCATTCATTCAGTTGTGGTTGCTGCAGTGGTGGTTTGAGTGGGTTCATTTTAGTTAGTCCCCACAAAGTTACACTCTAACAATATACAAAACTACAGTGGGGTTGACATGATCGCTGGACATTTCTTGGGTTGTTAAATACTCAGACTAATCACTGTGACTAACATGCATGGGTTTTCTCTTCACTGCACCGGAGTACTATATGACCGCTCCCTAGGATGCACTGGTTTCAGTCTTGTAAGAACTTAACACACAAAACCTGCGACATCTTATTTGTATTTGCAGTGTTACTGAATAATTTCGTATCTCGCTGTGTCCATCTTGCAATTTCACAGCCCACACCCAGTGAAGCCACTCACACCTCCAGATGACAAGAAGTCAGAGGGTCGCTCTGTGTTGGAGAAGCTAAAGTCCACTATTCACCCTGGCCGGGCTCACCATGGAGACCAGGATTCTGAAAAGAAGGTATGAATAGGTTCGAAAATCTATACTATTAGGCGTCATATTAATTTGACAAACAGAAGAAAAGAACATTGCTATTAGTGTCTCAGTGAAATGACTATATTGGCTTAAAATTTTAATCGGGGTACCAGCTCTGATCTTGGAGCAAGGGTGGTGCCACATCTCTAGAAGTGGCAGCTCCGTGACTTGGCTAAAACATGCTAGTAGAACAGTGTCCAGAGGGGACTGGTCTTCTCTTTCTTTGGCTGACCAAAGACAGTTGGGCCACGGTCTGTAATACCACTGACTAACAAAAAGTTACCTGCGGCACTCCATACAGCCTCAAACAGGTCAAAGCTTAAATACAATAATATTACAAAAAAACCTTTCTATGAACAGCATCAATGTTCATAAATGTTTTGAACCAGCGATGTTCACTGGGTTCTGCTCAGATACCTAGCTTTCTTAGCTGAAGAACATCAAATCTACATTTAGCAAGGTAGCAGGGAAGAATAAACATCGCAACTGACAAGTGCATAAATACTAGTATTGTAGAGTCAGTGTAGAATAAGACACAGGGGAGGCCATAATTCCTTAATAAAGTGCTCTTTATTAAACACCAGGGCAGAAAGGTATACACAAGGATTGAACTTGCGGGGGATGTCACCACTAACCACAGGCTTCACTCTTATGGTGACCACCAACCCACACTACCAAAACCCACTCCCCAACACAAATCAACACAATAAACACATACCACATACCTTCAACTGACAATCAGCAACATACACAACATTTAAGTCTTCTAGAGGGCCAGTTTCAGCCAGTAGTGGGTCACTACAGTATTAACAGCATTCAACAGTTTACTGAGCTGTGGCAGTCCTCTCTCTAGGCATGAAATCCAGCTGGCTACACATTTGAGCTTTTCACAAGCTAATATTGAAATTGGCCTGAACTCAGTGAATAATTGGTGGTGCATTGCCCTAGTACTTTGAAAAGTGCTGGGTCAAATGTTCTGGTGGCCATGCCTAGTGGACTGCAGTCCCTCAAAATTTGATGATTTCCCCAGACAGTCACAAATTTAAATCCCAAGACATTTAACCCCCCAAAGCCAAAGGCTGTTCTGCTGGCAATGTTATGTTACTCTCAGACTGAGGCATAGTTTGACAATACAATGTGACCAGTTTTCTTTGTGGACATAAAGTACATAATAATGAAGTTCAGTATCCCTGTTTGAACAGGGTCTAACTGTTCAAACAGGAATATTCTGTTAAGAAAGGTTCTTCAACACTCAAAGAATCATTTGAATGCATAAATCGTTCTTTGCTTGGTCAAATGGTTGTTCTTTATTATGAAAAAACAGTTGTAAAAATGCTTCTGTATAGCACCAAAAGTGCTTCCACTAATGTAACAAGTCAAAGAACCCTTTTTCAGCACTAGGCTATATAGAATCCTTTTTGCTACGAGTTTAGGGTGCCAGTTGTAGGGTGTTTGCTAAGTGTGTTGGGTGCTAGTGAATTTGTAGGTATACAGTTACTGTTCACGCTCAATTTCTCATCCATCAGTGGTAAAAGACCACCTTAGGACCAATGCTGACCAAGCTGACAAATTCTGCCTACACCCTTAAAACAGATGCACTAAAATACATAGCATATCTGACCTCCCAGGGCATCATTTTGAGTTACTTAACACAAACCAATATGTTATTTAATACAGACAGTGTGTTTTTGATCACACACATCTTCATTAGAGATATGTTCTTGAGGCCTGACGCAAAGTGTGTTGAAACAATGATGTTATCTGTGTGTTATCTTTATAAAACTATAGGAAGAGATGGGCTGCAGCCAGTAATTGTATTGCTACAAAGGGCATCTATAAAATGGTTAATCAAAGTAGGTTTCAGCAATACAAGTTAACTTGGTATAGATCAAGATACTTATTGTAATGTCTCTTCCACTTTCTCTCAGCCCCTAGTGGAGGGTGGAGGTTCCTACTACCATCTGAATCACAGTGAGCTGGTGTCCCTGCTGGTGCAGCGAGATGCTGTGCTCCAACAGGAGAGGGAGGAGTACGAGCGCCGGGGGGTGTTGCTGGAGAAGCGGGAGGTGGAGATAAGGAAGATGAAGGTTTTAATCCGAGATCTAGAGGATTACATTGACACTCTGCTTGTCCGCATCATGGAGCAAACGCCTTCGCTGTTGCAGGTCCGCTCCAAGATGAAGTGACCTGGCCAGTGCTCATCCAACCTTTCACTAACCCCCCACAAACCTTCCACAAACCTTGGGCAGATGTCGCAACCCTGCACCGCTACTGCTATCATGTAAATGTAGAGTACAGCAACCGGCATTACTGAACAGGCACAGAGGAGATGATGTATATTTGGCATGCTTAACTGTATCCAAATACACTTGGATCTCTGTGTGGGGTCCATACTTGGCAGGTACACCCCTGCTTTGGCAGGGCTTAGGGGATGCCCCCTCCTCCCTGAAGTCTTATTCTGATAGGAGAAGTATGATTTAAATTGCATCAGCTGATGTTCACTCTCTGCAACGGATGTCTCAGAGGTGCAGCTGTCCAGCTAGTTACCAAAACTGTCGGTCAGTCAAAGGGGAAGTGTGGTCTTTGAGCTAGGGTGAATCATTTCTGATGCTCGAAATAACTCATTTTACCAAATTCTCTCTTTTTTTGCTCTTCCTTTCCCATGACATTAATGGGACCTATCGCATTTTAAACATATAACGTTCTGCTGCTTGAATAGGCCGATTCTGTAGATAGAGTGAGACAGAGAAAGGCAGAGAAACAACCGGGATAGAAAGCAGAATCGGTCGGTTCTAAATCTGCTTGTGCCTCCTGTCGTGTCTTCCGCACTTTACTGACGAGCATAAGAGCAGAGGCACGCACTAACATGCTGGCTCCCCACTCCCCATCTGTGTCAGTCAGTCAGTGCCCTCCCCTCCCCCCGTCCTGCTTGAGCTAACGCACGCACATCGCTGCCAGTGCTTTCAGGTGTAATGAACGGGATATGTACTGTCCTTACTGCGTATATGCCACTCTGATGAAATGCCAAACGCTGCCTTATCATATGTCTCTGTTCTGTTGTCGCGGAAACCATCCCTTTTATTCAGCTCTGCGCCTGACCTTGAAGTACCACTTAAAGGGACGGTGCCTTCAAACTTGATTACCAACAGACTGTTAGTTTAAGTCAGGTGAAGATGTAGGATGTTACTGCCTCATTGTGGAGCTGTAGCGAACTAAAGAGAAAAAAGGATGATTATCGAATACTAAATGCCTGAAGTTGCTATAATTCAGTGTTAGTGTCATGCACAGCCGTGGCTCTGGCCCCTGTCAGTGTCCCCGCAGTGTTACTCTGATGTTACTCTAATGTCGCCACTATCAGTGTGTTTTGCAGTGTAGCACCATGTGTAGTTGTGTGGTAGAGGCCAATGTTACAGCACTTTCAAGCCACACGCACACTGGAAATGGTTCTTCCTAAAGAGCAGAGAAAATGTACTGAGTGAACACAAATAGATGCACATGCACACTGCACTAGCTCATTCTCTGAACCTAAGATATTTACAGTATTTCTGTGCTACTGTAATTCTCATAGTCCAGCCCAGCTAGAAAAGAAAAAAAAAATCAGAGGTCAGCATAATACATGTAACTCATCAGAGACTTACTGAGATGATTAGAAGCACTTCACACGTTCTGCCTCCCATTCAAATATGATCTCTGTCTCTTAGATTTTGCTGATGTATGAATGGAATGATTGGACTGCTTCGTTCAGCTGGACTGGTATGGAACGATTGTGTTGGTCAGAGACTGAAGTTTACAGTTCTTAATAAACCTGTTAGGTTTTACATTCTAGTCTTTATTTAAAATAATATTTTCTGGCTTTCTTGCACTTTTTTAATAGTTTTTTTTTTTGGAGTTCTATGCTGTTCTTTTAAAAACTCACTGTTGTGCTTGCAGAATGTCATGCTTGTTTTCTCTAATAATCATTTGTTTGTGATTTATCTGGCTTTTTTTTTTAACTACCAACACGCTGTTCTTACACACCATGACTGTGTTCATCAGGTTTTCTCTCTAGAAGTCAGTAATAATGTAGAAAGCAATAGAGCAGAGGGCTAGAGGACTGTAGGGAACTTGTGTGCATCCTGCAGTCCAGTTTGTAGGTACAAGTGCCCTTGGCTTAATGTTATGAAATGTGTCAATGGAAATGAATGTAGAAATAGGTCTGTGTGCTTTTAATTGTAGATTTGATAGAGCTACATTTCTGTAGCAGAACCTCTGGTAATTTATTTGCAAATAAAAACATTGTGTTTACAGTTCCTACACTTTTGTTTCTGCAGATCCAAGATGCTTATGTATGGAACATAAGACGATTTTCCATTGTAGCTGCAAATGTTTATTTTGAATAAAATTGTTTAAGTGAACATTTTAGTAATTTACTTTTTGCTTATTTTTGATTTGGCTTTTCTCTTATTCTCTTATTTTTGAGGAATTAATGGAGAGGACAGGTCCAGGTAAACCTTCCAGGTCATAAAGCAAACAAGAACTGACCACTCTGCAGGAATCGGGAGCTGTTTTGATTTTATTTGGTTTTTTTTTTAATCCTCTCCGGTGTTTCTCTGAGGTGCTCTCTTTGGGATGTGCAGGTTGTTCTATGACTGTCCACAGGGGGCAAACGTTTGATTGTTTGATTATCAACTAGATGAAAGATGTGCAGTCAGAGACTATCAAAGTTCAGTTCTCTGGTCTGTCCTTTTGCATCTGTGTCAACAAAATAAACTCTTTTCACTTTGGGATGGCATTTTCTGTTGTGCTTTTTTCATATTCTAAGGGCAGCATGGAAGGAAGGCAGTTCACACAATACACTGAAGAAGGAGAATGAAGAGTTAAGCATGTTTGACAGTTTTGCTGCAACTTTCTAGTTGTTTCCCAATACAGTTAAAGATAGGAGGAGCAGGTTGCACAAGGTCAGCACAGCCTGCAACAGTGAAATTTCTACAAACAAAAAGACCAAAACCGATTCTATATTACAGCTGCGTGGGCAGCCTAAGTAGACAGAGTTTCAAAATATGCCGCTTTAAATGAACTGACCGTAAGCCATGCTGTCAGTTCATGATGGCATTAGATACCTTTGAGAACAGTAGCTCAGTGCAGTTGCGCTCCTGCCCAAACTGAATTAAACACTCCTCTTAAAACACATTCTGGCTGTGTATGATATTCAGTGCAGTACTGTAACCTAAGTAGACTACTGAGATGAAGAAAAAGCATTTTAATTTTTTTTTTTTTTTCATATCTGTTATAGTGATCTGATGTAAGCTATGTTTGATTAGCCAAGTATGTGAGCTATAAGAAACAGGGTCAGTTTGGTTAAAATAGACTACAAATTACTATAGTCCACACTTCTACAGACTATTGTAAACTAATTATTTTTGTTTATGTCACTATATGTGTTTTTACATTATTTTGTCTTTTATTGTGTTTCACATTTTAAATGGGCAGGTCTAAAACAGTTTGACTTGACTACACTATGAGTCACAAACAGGTTAATCAAAGGTAATTCAAGGGTTTAAATCATAACGTTTATTGTTTAAAATAATAATAAAAATGTATCATTTACACAGCAGTTAAAAACAACATTACCCAAAATGCAACGAAGGACCGAGCACTTCCAGGGGGGGCGTACCCGGAGTCTATTTCGAGCCTCATATGGCACCCGGTGAAGCGAACCTCACTATTTTCTGTGTATTATATTAGATTTGAGCACATTAATAGTATTTAGGGCGCTTGTCCTGCTCCACCATGGCTGCTGAGTCCACAGTGTACCCCGCGTTCAGACTCGGAGAGTCTCGTTTCGATCAGGTAAACTCACACACGGCGCCGAGCGGTTCACATCCGGCTCAACTTCTCTCCAAACTGCAGCCTTGTTGGGAAACGTGGTGTCCTGCTGCTCCTCAGCGGGATTTTAAAACATGTAGCCATAGTTTAGTCGTTATAACGGACCAGTCCACTCAGGGGTCTGTATGTGGGCAGTCAGTGCGGTTCACCTCCTGCCTGGTGTTGTTGGACTGTGGAGAAATCGCTCTAATAGAGACCCCTATTGGTTTGATAGCGCCAATGGTTTTAAACGGCGTCTTTCAAGCCAAATAAATAGTAACGTAGCAAGAAAGTTTCTGTTGCCAAATGAGGAAATTAGCCCGCGTAACGAGCCCGCAGTAACCGACTCCAATTAACTATTTAATGATCCGATGTGAGCGAATGGTTTCATCCTCAGAGGTAAAAGAGGAGAGTTTTCTGACAGTGTGAACTGCAGATCTGCTGTAATTACACCGCGAACGTCAGACATGAACATCTGCAAACCGCCGTCTGTTACCATAATATGCAGCAAAAAATGGTGCGAAACACACACACACGCACGCGCGCGTGTTTGTCTTACACTACTTGTGAGGATTTCCATTGATTTCTATTGATTTTTGTATTGCTATAGCCAACTAATACTACACCTGCATCTAAACCTTAATGCCCCAAAGGCAATTTTTCTGCCCTTTTGGATTTTCCAAACATATTCACAGGAGCACCAGCAGAATGTCCTCACTTGTGCAAAGTGTAATGTTCTGTCATTGGGCCTCCTTCATTAATATCTTAATAAGTTTTTTTTCTCAAATTTCCTCTTGAAAAAGGTCCTAAGAAAAAGTCTATGTCAGATTCATGACGTGTTCTTAAACATTGGTGAATGTTAAGAAATGTCTTCTTAAGAACGATTGGTAAATGAGGCCCAATGTAAGGACATGTGGTCCTCACAAGGATAGCAAGACAAACGCACACACATACAGACACACATATACACACACACACACGCAGCCACGATCTCTCTCGAAAAGTTTAATTGCATCGGAAAAAGTTTCACAGTTTATGAACGAGCAAGACAGTTGGTGCTTTGCTGAAATGAGGCAGTCACACCTGGTATACAAAAACAACTGGTGAGCCCTTATGTCAAGGCATGCTCCACAGCAGCTGGCTCCCACGTCTGGAGAAAGTTTTTGGGACCTGAAAAAAGAAATGCAAAACGATATAATCCATTTTAATTAAAATTAATTTTCTAATGAATCAGATAAAAGCTTTTTTTTCATTTCTCCTTGAAGTAGATATTTCCTGGGGTTGATATAGTCAATCTGTCATTATGTTTAAAGTTAAATCAAGTAATCAAAAAAGCCCTAGTTTCCTCCGTGACTATAATACAGATTATAGGAGATAATTAATTCTCTGGAGGCATGTTTATTGTGTTTTGTCTCTGCCTTCAGGGATCGTTTTATGGTAGATTAAGGCATTTCCTGGATGTGATTGACCCTCGAACACTCTTTGTATCAGAGGTATGTGAGCTTTTCTTTATATGGAAGGAACAGCATATTGGATCACAGGGTATTTCGAAAGTCAATGAAAGAGAGACCAGTACACTGACTCAATGAACAAATAAGTGGGTGTTTGATTCTGACTTAAAGTACTTGTGTTTGGAAGAGTTAATGGTGTCTGGTTATTAGTTAGTTACCAGGATTATGACCACAGGACAGGTACCTGCCTGAAAATCTGAATTTGTCCCAATTTGTTTTGAATCAGAGTTTCATTCCAAAATGCTGTATATCCATCTCTAACAATTTTGGATATAACGAGAGTTTTGAAAAGAACAACAGCTGATGTGTAATAGAGAACACATTTTTATATTTCTAATAAAGGTGAGAGTTAATTACTGATGTCTCTTTTATGTATATAAGACAATTTGTAAACAAAAATCTATAGTGTGTTTTGGAAGAACATTGTTTTGTTTGTTTCCAAAGCATTATTTATCAAAGTAGGCATTCCACATTTCAAGGCTTCAGAAAAAAAAAATAAAAAATTTTTATTGTTTTGATTTGTCCTAGAGTCGTCTAAATGAATGTGTGAAACTCTTAGAGCACTTCAAAGATGGCACTCTACCTGCAGGTGTGACCAATGCACAGGTAAGACCGTTTACAACTGCCCACTTACAGCACAAAGAACTGTTGAATAAGTGCTCCTTAAAATGTCACAGCTGTTTTTAGACACTGGACTAAATAGTGTTTAGTTTATGCTGACTGATGAGATCGCCAGTGAGGAGCAGAAAGTAGGTGTCAGAGAATTCATTAGGTCACCGTGGGAGTCTGTTTGGGCAGTTTGTGTTGTGGACACAGGTTACGTTGCTATGGAACTCAGCATACAACAGTGGTGATAGACCTAAACATGCCTAACCTGTGTGTCCCATTTGCACAAATGTATGTATGTCAGAAGTCACAGATCAGAGTTGAATATTGCTAATTATTATTCCTCCCTCTAATCTTCTGTCTCTCTCTGTAGCTTTGGGAGGCTCAGAAGGTGAAACAGGTGAGTCTGGATCTATAATGAATTTTTAAATTTAGTCATGCGCCAATTAGGCATTTTATCTTTTACCCCAGTCCATAATGTCACATTGGCCTGATGCAGATATGCTTTTTTATCTTTACAATAGGCTCTTGCATAGTCAGCCTTTAAGCTAAAACCTAGGTCACATGTTAAAGATCGATGCTACACAATATATAACACACAAACTTTATAATAAAAATAAACGCATATAATTAATATTGCCAGAATGGAAAGGAACGGAAAGTGTTGTTATTGACACTTAAGCAAGACTTGATTTGTGTGGTGTTCAACATTTTAAATCCTTTTTTTTATGTAGACATCAAAATTTGGGTGATGTATTTTGCATCATCATTTGGCAAATGTAGAATCCCAGTATGTAGAACAACCTTTGGTCAGTCATCTTTACAGTCGAAGGCATACAGTTAAGGATTGACTTGTCATCAGAATCAGAACACAAAATGAATTGAAAGCTTTTAGTATTGAAATGAAGCAGTGGCTTAAACAAAAACACATTTGTGGACACTGAGAGTTTTGACATGCATATATAAATTTATATTCATGTGCTCAAATATAGGTGGTCAGATATCTATAAATACCCACATGGATACATACTTATAAATTAAAATGTGTGTTTTAAATTTGTCTTGTATTGCATTTTTTATAACAATGTTCATCTATATTTTCCCTGACAAATAAATAAATCAATAAATAAATAAATGTAAACCAACATCACGCAAAATTGCTGTTTTCATTAGCCAGTTTAGAGACTGCCCATTAGGTCATTCTGCATGAATGACCTGATTTTGATCGGCAGCTTGTTGGAATCATGGTCTCAAATAGTGGACACACACAAACTGCAGGGGTCTTAAGTAGAGTACTAAGTGGGGGATCACAGGTAGTCTTGTTGTTTTAGCCCTCCTGTCTGTCTTTTTTCATCTCTCTCTTTTCTTTAACCTCCATCCCCCTCTGTGCCATCTATGGGGTCATTACACCTTCAGGCCATCCTCCATCCAGACACTGGAGAAAAGATCCCCATGCCCTTTCGCATGTCAGGTGAGGGTGTGAGCGTGCCGCTGGAGTGAGTATGTGCGTGTGTCATGGCTGGTTGGCCGTTTGCTCCTTGTTACCAGCCCTGGAGACGTGGGCAGCGTGGCGGGGGGTTTGCGCAGGCTGAGTGATTGGGAAAGGTCACACTCAGCTGGGCTCTGATTAAGGCCTCTGCCCCCTGCTGTCTGCAACTGCTGTTGGGCCTCTCAGAAATGGGAGTATTTTAGTCTGGTGTTAACACAGTTATTTAAAGACAGGAGAGAGAGACCTGCTCACTGGAACCGGGTGATGGCCTCCGCTGGAATGAACGACAGAGGCTTTTTAGGCTAATAAGAGTGTTATTACCATGTGAAAGGTCAGTGATGATGATATGTGAGAGCCTATCTATAGGATAATTAAACCACATAATGACTGATATAGCAAGTTAATCCACATCACTTTATGTTCCATACTTGCAGGTTTTCTTTTTCCTTTATAGAGTAAAGGGTTTCTCACACTTTTCTGGTCTCTGCTTCACTTTCACATTTCTGGTCTTTTTTCCTGTCTTTTTTTATGCTCTTTGTTTTTTTTTTCTAGGTTACATTCCCTTTGGTACACCAGTGGTAAGTTAAATACTGCCCAACAAAAAACAGAATAACAACCATATTTTAAAATACAATTGCTGTTGTGCCCTTAGTCATTTTGCACATGGCCACAAAACTCATAAAACAAAGGTTGAAAAAAGCTCTTTGGAGCACGGCCATAGAAGAACTGCTTTTAGTTTCCAAAAGCAGTGGTTCTCAAAACAGTCCTCAGGTCCCCCCCAAATGGTCCACATTCTCACAACGCATAATGGCATTGGTGGAGGGGAGAGGGAGGGTAATCCACACTTGCATATCTCATTTACAACATTTTTGTAGGTGAGATATGCAAGTGTGGATAACCATTTTAAAGTTCTAAATCAGTTAAAGTTTTTTCCTTTTCTGAGCCAAGAAACATTTGGACACCTTTGTTTTTATGACTGTAGGCCCTAACACTGTCTCTTTTGTTTAATGTAATTGCAATCCTGATAGGTCGTGGGCCTCTTACTTCCCAATCAGACCCTGGCCACCACCATCTTCTGGCAGGTATAGCTCCTTTTTTCAGCGCCCAGTTCACTCAATAGATAAAAATGTTGGTTATTTCTTTATTGATGTTTTGCTCTCTTGTTCTGCTGTTTCTCTCTGTCTATGTCTCTCAGTGGCTGAACCAGAGTCATAACGCTTGTGTTAACTACTGCAATCGCAATGCTTCTAAGGTGTAGTATACGCAACACAGTCTCCTCAAGGGTGCAGCAGAGAAGTGCAGGGCAGAAGAGCAATTAGTTCATGTTGAAGAGCACTACTGGTGGCTGGGCTAGACAGATATAAACATTTGCACTGGCCATGCAGTTCACCAAGCCAATAAAGCTTGTGACCCAAATTTGTGGCCAGAATAACAGAAACATGTTTATACATTGGGTTTACAGATAACAAGCAACACTTCAATAAAACAGGTGTTGCATTGAATGAGGAAACATTTATTAAAAATTTTACATTTATAAGCATAATACTTGGACTGTGGTGGTGCCCCCTGGTGATCTGGTTCATTCTGGCATCATCGATTCAAGGTTATGTTTGGCTGCTGGTACTGTTAGGTACTGTTTACCTACTGCAGTAACAGCCTCTAGGTGTGATACCAATTTTTTAATACCTTATTTTTTAAGACCCTAGAGTAATATTAGCAAACTTCAGTCAATGGAACAGCATCTATGAGGACAGGTGGAGCAGCTTGATAAAGGGTCTACCATGGTCACCACAGCGTCCCATTTGATCTGATTTGATGCGTATACTCGACTAGACAGGTTTGTTAGCAGGAATAAAGAACACACCCAAAAAAAGGCCACAGTCTCTGTATTGTTAGTGGCCAAAATGTGAAATATTGTGGCCAGGGCCACTGAGAAATTGGTGTCTACCTCTGGCTGATGGTGATATACACTCCATTAGGCCTGAATTTTTTGTCTATTGTGATGAGGCACTGAAGCTGAAATTCCCAATTGCACTGTCGAATGTTAGGACGTGTACAGTAATATGAAAAAGTTTGGTTGCCCCTGGTTAAACGTTTGATTTTGTAAGTAAAACAAAAAAAATGTTAACACATTCTCTGCAAAGATGCACATTTTAATGCATAATTATTGTTTATTTGTGAAGTTGTTACCATATTGGGAGAAAAACTTAAAAGAAAATGTTGTCTGTGCAAAAGTTATGTACGTTTTTTTAATTTGTTTTGTTTTTTTTCCAGTGTGTTAAACTCATAAATGAATAGAAATTGTGCACTAAAATGTGAAGATAAATACCCTATTTAAGTTTGTTCCCTGTAGAGATGTGTTAACTTATTTTCACGTAGTAAAGTTAATCTGACTGATGATCTGAGGGTGTTAAAACTTTTGCATATGACTGTAAATCTGCCTGACAAGGAAATACAATACAATTTTCTAAGAATGAAATCTCATGAAAACTAATTGTTCGTGCAGTTAATTAACACATCCCCTCTAGTTTGGCCAGGCGTTTTGCTGTCTTTGCTATTATCACTACATTTTAGTGGACAACAATGATTTTAATGTGGTTAATTGATTCTGTTTGTAGCCTACACCATTTTCAAAGTTCTTCCAGGGATACATGGGTGCAGTCAGCAGCGCAGTTACCATCGCAGTGAGTTTGGAACACACACGCACGACACAATGCCCAACTGTTCAAGCATGCCGAACATGCTGTCATGAATGTATTCCGTTGTTGATATCAAGTATAAATTTGTCAAGTAAACTGATGTAGTCTGATCCCTCCTGCACCAGCCGCTATTCTCTGGTGCACAGAGCTCAACACATGTGTCCATGTGGCCACGCCCCCCTGTGTACTCTAGAGCCAATTAGCTGCCCTGCTGGGTGGCGGTTTGATGCCCTGGGGCATGACAACCATAACCACGGTGACGGCAGCTACAAATGGCCCCATGCCTGTGGGAAATGGAGGGAGGGGTCACTAATTAAAACTCAAATCCTGCTGAAGCCCCCTGCTGGGGAGGGGCGGGGGAGAGCAGGCATAGAGCTGTTAGATGGCAGTTAGACAGGCCTGTAACAGGAGCTGTTGAAAATGACCAGAGACTCCCAAAGCAAGGCAAGAAACAACTTCACACAGCCTGTCATGACCTGTCACCAAGCCTCGTGGTCCCTTAGAGGACCCGTTGTCCTCATGGCACACAGGAAAACAAATTTATTAATTCAGTGCTAGAGTTTTCGCTTAAAGAGTTCATCTGAAGTTCGCACTCAGAGGTTAGAGAGCATTTTCACTATGTTTATGATTGCTAATGACTATGAGTCTATTAGCGACTGACTTCAGTCTTGATTTCCCCATCTCTGTTCAGCAGGATAATTTGAAAAGCTGCGATGTTGTCAACAGATGTTTTGTCAGTGTGAGTCAAACAGGACAGATTTAATTTATTGATTGTTATTTATAGCTGGGTACAGAAATGTGTTCCAAATGGTTGGATGTGACCTAATGCTACTGTTCATGCTTCTCCATCTTTTCAGTTGTCTCTCAGTCTCGGATGATAAAGATACCTTCCTCCTCAGCTAGGAGCTGTAACTGCTGTGTTGCAGCTGTTTGAATATGTTTTAGACATTTGTTATCTTTAGACTACCCCAATATAGAGAGAATAAAAAGATTGCTTAGTCTGTTGTTAATGTTTAAATTAGGGATAAATGTCTATTTTTATAGGGGAATTCCCCCAATCTTTCTAAATTTCTGCATAATTAAATGGATAAAATGTAAACAGAGTTATTCAGAGTGATTTGATGTGCAATGATGTTCTAGAGAAACTAAGAGTCAGAATTTTTCACAGTTGTGGTGATAGGAACCAGATGTCTGTTTCTAAAAGCTACCTTTCAGAAAGCTGTTATATAAAAGGGTTACATATACATTGTGTGATTATATGAAATGGTTACATACACATTATGCATTGATTATGAAAAAACGGTGGAATGTACCTTTAAGTTTAGGTTTAGGACTACTAAGTGTATGGTTAGTTTTTGGGATATTGTTGTAGTTACAGCCTCATTTAAAAAACTTGATCACAAGTAGTTTGAATAGTACATAGATCACATTCAGTTTCATTCTCTGTCTATGTCTGTGTGTGCATGTACATGTTTGTGTTGTATAGGTGGGGTTGAACATTCTGATTCAGAGAGCCAAACGTTTCAGGCCAGCTACACGACTTCTGGTCCAAAGATTCATCCCTTTTCCTGCTGTTGGTATGTATGCGTGAGTCTGAGAGAGAGAGAGAAAGACGTAGAGTTTATGCTGTTATCCAAAGCCAGCTCTCTGCCTGTCTTGTAGCCCTTATGAATGTCTAATGATTAAAACATGTGCAAGACACAATTAAGTGATAGAATCAGTAGTACTAAATATTAATTCATTAGGACCATATCCGTTTTGTGTCATGTCTTCTTCTTCCGTCTGAGTGCTCATTGCCCTGTGTTTGCAATTGTAATGACACTTGGCCTCCAAATGAGCGCTTGCGTGCACCATCCTTTAACCACCAATACATTAAGTGTTTGTTTATTTTTGTTTATTGATGCGTTCTATTTTGACTGGTGTCAAAGGGGAATCGCTGGAACGCTATCTCTCTGTTCCATTAGCGTTCTGTGGCTCTAACAAGGCCAGAAGGGCTCAGGGAGACGGTCCCAGGATGCCGTGGGGATACTTGGCTGTAATTAAATTGTTTTTGTCCCCTCACCCCACCCCTTTAATTAAATCAGCTGGTCCCCCCTTACCTTTTGGCTTGGGTAACGGAGCCTCGTTAGCTCTTGGTTGCTGCTCTCTAATTGGTTAATTAGGCCTAAAGTGCTCTCTCTGTGTCAGCACAGGGCTTCCTGTCTCCAGGCCGCCATGTCATTGTTGTTGTTGTTGTTGTTTCCCAGTGTTTAGTTATAAAAGGTTATTAAACTTAGCTAATTGAACATGGCAGAGATAAGGTGTTTGAAATTTGACTTGACTGATTTTTGTTTTTCTAATGCTCTCAGGGTAGTCTAGCTAAGGTTTGGAATTCTGTTAAGATCCGATTGACATCCTACAGGCACACATACATATACTGTGGTTTAAGTTAGCCGCACTGTTTATATGTTTTTCACATTGCTTTCGCTTTTAAGGGCAACCTAAAGCCTAACTCCCCTGCCCCTTCAGCTTCTATATGATGTGTTTTGATGTTTTTAAGCAATGAGTTTTTGTGTTTGCACGTGAAAGCGCGTGCGTGTATGTGTGTGTGCGCGTGTATGGTTAATTGGTCTGGGTCTAAACCCCTCAGAGGTGAATAGCTATTTACTCAGCCAATTAACTCAGCCCCATAACACAGCAGCACTGAACACTGATAACTCACAACACAAGGCCTGCAAATTAAAAATGCTTCAGGCTCTCTCTCCCTCTCTCTCTCTCTCTCACACACACACACACACACACCACACACACACACACACACACACATACAAACATACACATACACCCAAAAATAAATTTACAACATGTCAGAAACATTCATGTCACTAAATAAATCACTGTCCTGCCTTTACACCGTTGTGATTCATATGGTGTACACAGCCACTATTTTCCTGCATGTTAATTATAATACAGTGTATTTTATTTTTGTGCTTGAGTTGACGCTGAAAAGATTTGCTTGTCGTATTTTAAGATATTCCTGCTTTAATAATTAAAAAATAAAAGTGGTGATTCTCAGTGTGGACTGGATTGAGTTTCTTTTCTGATTGTGATCTCTTTTGCCCATCCTCTGCTGCCCATAGCGAGTGCCAACGTATGTAACGTGTTGCTGATGCGCCACAGCGAGCTGTCTGAGGGAGTCAGTGTGCTGGATGAGAATGGAAATGTAGTGGGCACCTCCAAGTTAGCAGCCAGACGTGTGAGTGGACAATGAGAGCTTCACAGGAGCACATTCACTCTAAACCAGTAGAGCTGCACAATATAGCAATATGTTATTGATGATACATCACTATATGCATATTGATAAATTATGACAAACTACATTGTTGTTGTTCTAAAAAAACAGCAGCTGTTCTTTATATTGTGTGAAAATTCCATGATGAATTGACCAATAGAAATACTCCAAAATCACTTTGAAAAAAAATGTTTACATTAACTTACATTAAAAATAAATACCCTTTTTGCCCTTTCTTGTGAAGTTACTGTTTAGGAGATATGTTTTACTGTGGTTTTGTTCCTTTTTAAATGTGGCAGTGCTGTTTCGCTGGTTATTTATTTTCCATTCCATGTGAGCTTGATTGATTGTAGAGCTTGAATCATGAATAGCCAGAATTGTGCACAGGCATTGTTGGAGACAGCTGTGACACGGGTGGTCCTGCCTATGCCTATCCTGGTCCTGCCACCCATGCTGATGACTGTGCTGGAGAGGTCAGTACTTTCTTTAAGAACTGGGGTGCCCATCCTTGGTTTTGGTGATCTGCTGCCCAAGAGAGCTTAGTTTAAACACTCCTGGCTCCAATATTCAGATGCTTCTGAAGGCCTCTGTTAAGTAGATCAGGTGTGTTAGATTAGGGTAGTGGGTTACTAGGGCACCAGGACCTGGGTTGGGCACACCTGGATTGGAGTATTATTTGTACCACTTTACACCTGAAGAACTAAACTATTTTTAGTACAAAGTTTACACAGTGTCCGTTTTCTGCTGTCCTAGCATGTAAATGGGGGCTGGGAGTCAATCCCAAAAAGAGTTTATTCTTCGATTCCAGACATTTGGGAAATGAGAGTTGATGCAAGAGTTTTGGACTTGTTTCCTCGCGAAGAAGTTCGCCTGTGCCGTAAGCACACCGAGAGATATTTTGCCGTCTTTCTTGGCCTGTCTGAAAATGCATCCTTCTACAACACATACAGTAGTCGTATGCAAAAGAGTGAACACCTGGTCACATTAAATGTTTTGATTATTTTCTAAGTGAAAATAAGTTAACACATCCTGTAAAGGGAACAAACTTAAACATGGCATTTTCCTGTTTGCTTGCTGAATTTAATGCATTTGATGAGTGTATCATTTTGGAAAAAAGCCAATTGTAAAACACTAAGTGATACAACTTTTGGACAGGACACATTTTATGTTAAATTCAGCAAATAAACTGTAATTGTGCATTAAAATGTACAGAAGCATATTCTCTTATCTGAGGATGTGTATTTATTTTTACTCAGCACATCAAAAAATATCTTCAACAACTTGACCAGGGATGCCCAAACTTTTGTATTTGACTATATTTTGGAAAAGCAAAGTAAAATGTACAGTTTGTAACAAAACATCTGGCTTACAATTAAGCTCGCTGGTGCTGAAACATCTACCCACCCAAAATCGAGTGCAGTTTTAGTTGGCCACAGGTTAATTTGGCTAGTGTTAGCTCTCCAGACTGCCTTATTAAGCTCAAATAGCCCATAGAATTAAACAATGTAGTAACTAAATTATAATTCAACATCTTGTGCCCTTAAGAACAACTGAGGACAACCATAAATTATAAGTGTATAATATATACCAAATACTGTGTTTTTCATGGTTCCAGAATTCTTTCACTATGTTTTGATTTTTGGGATCGAGAATCAAGAAATTGAGTGTGTGGAATTGACTCTATCACTTTAAATCAGAGATGATTCCAACATTTCTGGAATCAGGCAGCTCTAATGTAAATGTGTGCATGCTTTTCATAACCTTGAAGGGGAATCCCACCATTCTGCATAATTCAGTTTTTAAAATGTAAACACTATCATTAAGAGTGTTTTGATGTGAAATGACCAGTTTAGAGAAACATACTGACTCGGATTGCTTTACAGTAATGGTTATGGGAACCAGGGATCACAATGTCTACAACACAAATATAGCCATATTTTTACTATATAAACTGACCAGTGAACCTACACCCGTCTTCTGAGTTCTTATATGTAATGCTGATAATAGTGACATAATAGTTTCCTTTGGAGACTGTTTTGCTTTACAACACCCTGTATGTACTTCTTCACCATGACTAGATGTAAAAAATACATTTTAGGCCAAAACCTTATTGTAAAACTTTTGAAAAACAAGAACATCAGGCAGTGTACTCATAACCATTTCCTATAATAACATTCTGTGAGGGATGTTTATATTAAACTCAGATGTCTGGTTCCTGTCACCACCACTGTGAACAATACTGACGATCACACTTCATTTAAATGGTCCCCTATGGATGATCTACAAATACTGAAATTATTAACAGACTTTCTGGTGATAGTTGATTAATGACAACATTAGGGTTAAGGTTAGGTTTAGGAGTAGGTGTAGGTTTTGCCTTGAGGTTGGGGTTAGGGTTAGGTTTAAGATTAGGGACAGATTTATTAGACTCTTTTACACACAACTTCAAATTCAGTTGCATTTAATAGATATTTATTTGCATGTTAGTTAAAATAGACTGAGCATCTAAAAAACATCTACAGTGGACCATCCAAATAAAGTGTTACCATACTGACTCAGTAAGTTTGAGCATTCCACATCAAACCACTCTGAATGACTGTTTAATTATGCAAAATTTTTGGTGGAATTTCCCTTTAAGCTTTTTTTGTGGTTGTGTGCCTGTCTAGCTATAACTATGATTAGTATGTAATAGTTTCTATCTTTAGGGTACTTGCTGTAGAGAGTTTGATTGGCTTTGTTAAGGCTGACAGCCCCTGTCTCAACTGCTCTTCAGTTTCCATGCTTTATCTCACAGGTGTGTGTGTGTGTGTGTGTGCATGTGTGCACGTGTGTGAAGGAGCAAACGGTGAGTTGTCCTGTGCAATGCTGCCTGTCAGCTCACCCTCACTGGCTTTCAATGGAGCGAGAACAAGGGAGCAGAAGGGTCAGTGTAATGGGGGGCTGCCTGTGTGATGGATTAGTGTGCTGAGAGGAGTGTGTGTGATATATGCTTGTGATGGGTGAACCTTTAGCATAGTTTTCTACCTGCAGGCCTCCTACTGTCTGCCACTTCCATTCACTCCGAGCTTTAATATCCTCCTCTCCCTGCTGCTTCTTTGGCCTTTTTCTTTTATCTGTAGTGTCCTCTACCTTTCTTTTGCTTTTTCTCAGAACAAATTAAGAGTGACTGATGACCAAGATAACACATTTTAGACAATTGATGGACACGATAAAAGATCTTTAACGGACGTCTTTCATTGCTTCTTTTCTCCGGCCCACCCCCTCTCAAGCCCACTTCCCCTCGCGCTCACACGCACACACACTCATGCAGACACATACTTGCGCACAAGCGCGCACACGCAGAGTGCCTGGTCGTGTCTGTTGGCCAATTAAAGCTCATCATGCGAATGTGTTGATGAAGTCGTCATTAGGCAGCCGTTGCCTTCATTAAAGCAGGACTGCTCTGGAGGACTCCTGCCGAGCACGCTATCCCACAAGCCCCCACGCTGCACTGCGGCCGGGAGCGAGGGCTGAGGGAGGTGTCAGCCACAGAGCGATCTCGCAGTGGAGAGGAAGTGTCAGAGAAGGAGGGGGTTTAATGATGATTGCAGGAATGCTTAGGATACTGAGAGTTTTCTTTTTTGTTGTGTTAAATTATCTGGGTGTGTTTTTCTTGTGTGTTTGTGTGTGTGTGTGTGTGGGTATCAGACTCCCTCTACTGCAGAGACACCCTCGACTTGTGCTGCCAGTACACAGCCTGGTGTGTCTTTGTGCTTTTGGTCTGGCCCTACCGCTCGCCATCAGTCTATTTCCACAAAACAGCCAGGTGAGCACTCAACACCATCTAGCAAACTCTCCATGACTGCTCTTTTATGTGATTCCTTCTATGTCATTCTTAGACTCACTGGCAAGTCTAGACATTCATTCCTCAGTCCTCTAATTTTGTAATCGCTAAGTAATTGCATTGTTTTCTATGCAATTGCTAAATAACAGCAGTGGGTAATACTGCTGCCCTCCACAAAACAAACTGGGGTTCAATTCCCCACCCAGGAAAGCACCCCACACCACTTTACGCTAATAAGAATCTTTGGGTTAGACTCCTAATATTGCGTTCACCTACCTCTGTAACATAACTAAACTGTAAGTAGCTCTAGAAAAGAGCATCTTCCAAATGCATAAATGTAATGTAAATATAAATAATAAACCTCAGGATGTAGACATTGTAGGGAGTTTAAGGGGTTCATTCTCAACTGAAGACTTCACTCCTTATACCAGTGATCATCAACCCTGGTCCTGGAGCTCAGCCTTCCTGTGGAGTCTAGTTCCAACCTTAGTTGCTTAATTAACTTCTTCAGAAGTTTTTGATGGGCTGGAGGTATTAGTGTTAAAAGGGCTGCAACATGTAACTTGTATGTTGGAGATAAACTCTGCAGGAAATATCTCCTGGAGGAAGGTTGGTGACCACTGCTGTGTCCTGTGCATTGTATATCCTTCTCCATATCCTGTAGCTTTCACAATTATGTTTACGTTGCAACACACCAAATGTGAATTGATTGTGTTTTCACCTGTTGTGTAGAAGCAAATAGTTGTAAATAAAAACTAAGTAGAAATCGTATTTATTCAGACTTTAGACGTATAATAAGTCATGCTTAACAGAAGCCTTAACATCTGACTTCTGGTGCTGTAACACCTTTAGAGGGCAGCAGTGAGTGATGCTTGTTTATTTGACCTCAAGCTGTTTCTGCCTTCAGTTGGGAGCTACTGAGTATTTACAGCTAGGAAGGAAATAAGATATCTGATCAGCCAATTCATCTACTTTAGGCTTACACTTTAATAGAGTAGATTCATACAGTGAACGAAGTTATACGGTTGTATATATACTGCCCACACATACTGCACATGCTGCCCATTCTTTAGCTATGCTGGACACAAGACAACACAATGCACACAATAGAACAGTCACAGCAGAACAGAGCATAGTGCAATCCATCACATCCAACACAACACTACAGTACACAACCCGAGAGTACTGCATTCTGCTCTACGTTCAGTACTACATTACCCAACACAAAGCAACACAACAGCACATAACACATCACGGCACAACCTCTTCATCCCGTCTCTCTCTCTCCCTCTCTCTTTGTCTCTCTTTGAGGGTTATGATTTAAAATGGTCTGTAATAAGCTGTTCCTCCATATGGTTACTGAACTACAGACATATGTGCTGCCAACTTCTTCCATTCCTCTCTCTCCTCTCCCCTCCTCCTCTCCTCTCACTTCCTCGCTCCCTCTTTACACGTTTCAGAGGGTTCCAGACGAGTGTGCTCCCAAAAATCCGCCGCTCCTGTACCCCCACCTTTTCACACCCCACGGCACGTCTGTTTCAGATTCTGCCTCACACACTCGCGCACTCCTTGCCATCTGTTTCTGAGCAAAATATTGCGCGTTTTAGCTCTGCTTTGGACGTTTACCAGTGCTCATCACTTTATTTTCACGCATATATATATATATATATTTTTTTTTCAAAGCGCCAGTTTTGCCTGTGAAAAATGCCAGTGACAAAATGCTTGAGGCTCTGATGGAAGAGACACAGCTCTCTTAATTCACGTTTGATTAAACATTTTAAACATCTTAATGAGTGGATGTTTACGGTTAATGAATGTAATTTTTAGCTGAGAGATCAGCTCCTTAACATGGATATATAAAGAGATATACACACAACACTGTGAATGTTATAGTTTTGTAGGTAATTTAAAATGTGTGCAAGAGGCTTTGAGTTGAACAGGCTAATGATGAACTTGGGCATGGGTACACATTACTGCTCAACTAAAATGATTTAAGATCAGCTGATGAGTTACTCTTTACTACGTTTCTTGATGTACTGGATGTGTGTGTGTCTCTCTCTCTCTTGCAGATTCACATCTTTCAGCTTGAGCCAGAAATCTCTGCGGCAACCGAGTGTAAGATCCTGACCTACAACAAGGGCCTTTAACTAATCAAAACGGTGGAGCACCACACGAGAAACGTCTGAAAATTGTAGGTCAGGAGATCTTCATCAAACAGCTCTGAAGCTGTGAGTCCAAAGTGCAGTGATGTAACGAAGCGTGGCGCTACGCACAGCCCAGTCATGCTAAAGAAGGCTATGAGGACATTCCTCCCCTGTGTTTGGTTCTAACCTGCCACGGATGTGTGTGTGGAATTTATTATCACTTACATACTGCGACAGGCACGTTCACACGCCAACGCTAATCACTTGTCTTCTTTGCATTCGCTTGAATATGCCATTGGTTAGTTAGGATATTAACGCCAAATCAACAGGAAATTAACAGCGGAATGATAACTTGAGTGCCATAATTTCCTGTTTTGTAGCTTTTGATAGAATGCATGGTAATGTAGTTTTATAAGAGGTTTTCATTCATACAGCCTTTTGGGAAAATGTGGTTTTGAGAGGGAAACAAGGTAAAAAACAGTGTTTACAGTTGCAGCAATTTCACTTGTTTGCCATGCAGAAAAAGTATGCAGTCAGTTTTCACTGCTTTTGGAAAAATCACCTTCCCCAAATTTAGGATCTTTGTCTAACATCCGCTCACTGTGATTTTTTACACTAATAACAAGAAAAATACACAGTAATTACACAGCAAATGAACATGTGCTGCATTTACCAGTTGAATTTTAGTTCACACCATAGCAGTACTCTCGATCAGGCGGAGCTAGGACCCACCTGTCACGTCCATAAAAGATTCTAGATCAGTAATTATAGATTTGACCTCATCTTTATGTTTATTATAACTTTATTCATGCAAGAACAGACATATCCCTCCTGTTATTCTCAAATGTACTAACATCATTTATCCTTGGGATCAGTTTGACCCCAACAATTTACATCTCCAAGTAAATTCTTGTGGGAATTATATTTTCTCCTCCTCCATGTCATGTGAATTATCAGGGTTTCTCACACTACTACATGTATGGTTATGTTAGGTTAGTGTTCTAAAGTAAAGGGAGGTTTTCTAAGGATTATAAAATTGCATGTTATAGTAACCTCAGTATATAGTCGAAAACAACCGAAACAAATGTGTGAAAAATAATATTTCTGATGTTTTTTTTTATCTATCTATCTATCTATCTATCTATCTATCTATCTATCTATCTATCTATCTATCTATCTATTTCCATAGATAGAATAAATTGGTTGCAAATGCAAGAAATAATGGTTAAAATATGTGAAGAAATAATGTCCGTTAATAGGTAGGTTAAGAAAAGCTATTAATTAAATAAGGCTATTAATTAAAGACATTTATTCAGGGAATGTTTAGATGCAAAATATAGATGAGTAATCTAGAAAAATATGCCACCATGAAGAGTCTTATCTCAAACACATTTATCACAGACCTATTCTAGTTTAATTATCATTGAGTTGTTGCAGCAGTGCAGCTGATAGCAAATGTGTGGCTGCTGAGTCACAAAGTTTATCCTGGACCCTGGAAAGCCTTGAAACCTGAGCCATATTCATCCACATCAGTCCAACTGCATGCAACAGTACTATGTAAGCTTCACTATGCTCTTATCAGCATAGTGTTTTGCTTTTATGAATCTTACTTGAGAAATAACAAACATCACATGCCGCTCAGCTAGAAACATACATACAGTGCTCTTGCCTTTCCTTTTTTCCCCTCCAGATTCTTTCTCATGTAAAGAGACTTTACAACAAACCCGCCATAAACTGACCTACTCTGTTCTAATATATCACCCTGGTTGTGCCTTAATGTGCTCATGGCCTTTGAATAAATTGCTTGTATGTGTGTAAGAACATGTTGAACACCTTAGTACCAGTCAAAATCAGGTTAATACACTGCCCATTTTCTTCCCTTTCAGATTTCTTTTCATTAAACGATTGTATCTCTGATTGTATTTGGCCGTGTTTGTGTTCTTTTGGCAGTGCTGTAAAATGAGTCTTGTAAACGTCTCCTCTCTTATCATTAGATCCATCTACAGATCAGGAAGGAGGGGGCCACTTTATTTTCCTACCTGGTTGTCATGGCAACAGGTCATGGTGGGCCATGGTAAGAGAGGGCGGGACATGAAGCCGCATGCAGAATCATTAACCATATAGAGCAGCCTTGGGGATGCCCCAGCACAAGCTTACGCGGGCTTACACAACGTTTACCACTGTAAACTTTGCCAATGAACTTCCTTCTGTAATGTGAATATCATAAAAGATACATCTCAACATGTTTTAAACATAATCTCCAAAACTGTCTCTTCTTATTTATAAACAATATCTCAGCATTCATATTTTTTGTTTTCCTTTGTCTCTATTTTTACTTAATATTAAGTTTCATAATATAGATCAGGTTTTTTTAGTCCAAGTGTCATTTTAGATTGCAGAATTTGCCTCGGACATGCATTTCTGTAAAGGAATAAAGGGGGTTCATTTAAGTAAGCTAGAAGTCTAAGTCTTGAGAATAGGCTGAGTGTTTTGTTTTTGTGCCTTTAAGAACTGTCCCGTTTTGGCGTGCATAGCAGCAGAAGAAAAGAGCACCAGAAAAAAGTTTTACAAAAACTAAATATTTTTAAAAACATTTACATTCATCATCTGTGTGCTCCAGCACTTAGGTTGCAGGGGAGGTTGGTGGGTGAGAGCAATTCTGTGTTATTATTTGTTAATGGAGTTGCTGTGAGGTATGTCTCTCTATTGGCAATCAGCCAAAAATATGCACCTATATTGTTTTCCGTCCTTGCAGAACCTCTCGAGCACTGAGCTTTGAGACACATTGATTGTATACAATAGCCATGACTGAATGGTCCACTTGAGCTTTTGATCATTCACCTCCTGCTGGCCCCTAGGAAATGAATCTTGTAAGTTATTGTCGTTGTGGTTTATTTTAAAATAATTTTGTGGGTTATTTAAAATAAATATTTTTATTGAATTATGACTTAGATCTTTTAGAGAACCCTTAAGGTTGCTGATTTAAGACAAATCTCCACATGTTTATACTTCTGTTTCCTTTCTTTTTGTGGACTGGAGAGTGGACCTGGAGAATGAATGGTATGTGTGATGTAACGGTGGGCTTTTGAGGATGCAGTGTGTGTGTGCACCTGTGTGCTGGATAGGGTGTCCTGTGGACTCAAAACAAACCTACTGACACACACCTTTTCCCCCACCGCTTTTCTCTCCATGTCCACTCTGTGCTCTTGACTGTTATTCTCAGGTGTCATCGTTCTTGCCTGTTCCATTCCCACCCCTTCTCCCATGGAGACTGGGGGTCAAATGCTGGGGTGAAAGGTGACCTGTGGGTTCGTTTAACATAGATCCCTTCTGTTTCTTTTGACAGGAGACCAGTGAGATGAGAGAAACACGCCGCCAGCAGGTGTTAGCCTGTGAGTTCCTATGTGTGTATATTGTTTGTTTTAAAAGTAAAACGGCACTTTTTTCATTAAGTTTTCATGAAGTTTAAGAGTGTCTTAATGTTACCCAGTATGTGCTAATAAAGTCCTCTGGCAATGATGCCTGCAGGGAGAATGCGCAATGTTTAAATATCATTTTCAGTGAATAATTATCAAAAGGGATGAGGCACATTGCCAAGATTTGTTTCTACAGCCTGTTTATTAATTATTATGGCCTTTTTTTTTGGAAAAAAAATCATTTTCAATTGTACTGTACATTATATGGGCCAATATACGGGCATTAATGTGTTAGTTGGCAAATATTCAGTATAGTTTGTGAATCAGAAAAAAAGAGCTGCCACACTGTAACCTGCATCCATCAGCCAGCATTACCATTACAGAATGACACCCGAGCACTCTAATCACACACGCACACACACACTAGCTCTCATTCCTGCGCTCATGTCTAAACTGGCCTGTAAAATGATTCCTCCCATCACAATTAGTTTATTTTGTCACTGTTGTCAGCTGCCACAGGAAAATCTTAATCAAAATACAAAGAAATGAATCAGTGGCAGCAAGAATATGATAGAAATTAACTGAACCACCTGATGAATGGAAATGCATTATAATTTTTTATGATCATTGTGAGGTTTTCAGGTCTAAATGTATGTGAATACATTATTATGTATTATTGTACATAACCAGCACAAAAGGTACAGTTTAAGCTGTTTAGCTGTCAACAAAGAGTATTTTTCCCAGGTTGACATCAAGTTAGAGATACAGTCATATGCAAAAGTTTGGGCAGCCCTGGCCAAATTACATGCTTTTTTATTTTCTAACTGAAAATAAGTCAACACATTCTCTACAGCGAACACACTAAAATATGCCATTTTTCTGCAAGTTTACTGCATAATTTCTACTTTTTAACATAGGTTAACATATTGGAAAAAATTTAAACAAAATATAAAATGTGCCATAACTAATGTTTCGTTATTATTTTTCCAAATATGTTAAATTCAGTAAAGAAACAGTAATTGTGTATTAATGTGCAGAAGTGTTTTCTCTGTAGAAGATTTAAAATCAACAAAATATGTAATTAAACCAGGGATGTGTAAACTTTTTATAGGACTGTGTAATTTAACCCTTAAATATTCTGACATGGGTATTAATACAAAATAATAACAATAACAAAAAAAAAAATAAAAGTATAAATAAAATAAAATGAGGAAAATTATTTGATAATTGCTTTTGTTGTCTAGGCAATAAAACAGTGTGCCATGTTAGATTCAGCTACTGTGGGGAAGGTGAGCGAAGTCCTGGTTTAACTGAGTCCATGTTCAGTCTCTGTAGTTTGTGGTAGAGAGAGCTGGGCTGGGTCTCCATACTGACCACATTTCTGCACTTTCACTCCCTCTTTCACATCAACACACACACACAGTCCTCAGCAGCCACGTTTAAACTCAGACATGATCATGGCTTAGAACATAAATAAATAGGGCTTGTTTGGCTTTGTGTGTGAGTTTAGGCCCGTTCTAATGGGTTCTAGGCATCAGATGTGACGTCTATGTCCTCAGAGCCGGTCTGTTTGGTGGCAATCCTCCAGCGGTTGATGTGGTGGTTGCCCTTCTTCTTCTGTGTGCTCTCGGGTCCCTCTTCCTCCAGCTTCTGCCGTTTATACTTGGTCCTGCGGTTCTGGAACCAGACCTTCACCTGTTGGAGTCAGAGCACAGCGCAGAGAGTGAGTATCAGTAAACAGTAACGGGCATAAACCCTCAACTCCAGTCTCTGAATTACACTGAACACAGGTCCTCATCCTGCGGCAATTTTCATTACGCAAATATGGAACAGTTTTACAAGATTTTTGAAAATTGTTTATTAGTAAAATAATAATGCTTAAAATAATATATTTTAAACTAATACTTAAAATCCTAGTCATAGCCATATTTTAAAGAAATCTAAACTGTGCTGATTCAGAGGTCACGTGGCGACAGAACTTGGTTCTATTAATTATTATTTTCTTTGTAATGTGGATTTTATATTCATCATTTTATTAATTTAATGCTGAGCAGACGGAGCGCGGATTTTATTATTTAATCTAAATTTGTACTCCAGGTTTCTGATTCAGTTAAAGCAAATCAAATGTGATTAAAAAATAATTTAATTTCATTTTTGTCTTTTATCAGTCTGCTTACACAATATTACTGTGGTTCTTCTTTAAAGACAAAATGTTGGATTGCAGTCCGGCCCAAAAGCAGTGTAGCTTTACCCTTTTACTAAATATAACCTAAACAGAGGGGTGAATGTAATCACTCACAATAAATCACATTGTTTTGCGCTGTAAAAATTGGTTCGTCCGTTCAAAGAAATAAGCTGGTAAGAAATAAGCTACCTAGATTTAACCAACCCAAATAAATACGCTGAACGAGCGATTCTTTCAAAGGATGTTTTGAGTTGCTTCTCACAAATATTTTTTTAGGTTGGACTGAACCAATTTGTACATTGTGTGAGTCACAATAACTGGTTTATTGATTAGCGCATAATTTGAAAAGCAAAAACACTAGACAGAGTGATCTAAATGGCTTTACCGCTCAGCCCCATTAATAAACCACATGGCCTCTCACTGAGATCAGCCTTTCATTCAGGGCACAGTGAATTTGGTGTTGGGGCGCGCAAAACCGCGGACAACATTAATACAGCCTGAACATTACTGATCATGTGTGATAATGGTCGACTTTCGCTATATAATAATAATATAATAATAATTTTTTATTTTTGAGTTTGAAAGTAGCGCAATTCATTAATGACAAAAACCGTATGTGTGGCCACGAGCTACAACACATTTATATTCCCTTTAGGACATTTGAACTCCATACTGCAGCCTAGCCTCCTCTAGCGAGCGTAGCCGGTAAACATGAGGATTTCTGACTGGCTGCACAGAGGCATTCATTTTAAAAATGGATCATCAATTTTAGAACTTAAATTAAAAAAGTATTTCTGAACTTAGATCATTTTCTTGTAGACCAAATAAAGTTGTTACCCTGACACATCTGAGAAACATGCTACATTTTGGTAAATTTTATATGATTTGTAAAATACCATATTTGAAGGCAAGTCGTGGAGAATTATTTTAATAACATCTCCAGCAGCACCGCGACTGAAGTGCAGCAGTTCAGTGTGTGTGATCCCCTGCAGCGCTCTGATGAGTTGTGTAAGGAGTGTGTGATGTGTAAGTGGTTTGTGTAAGGTGCGTGTGTACCTGGGTCTCGGACAGGCTGAGGCTGTTGGCCAGTTGTTTGCGCTCCGCTCCCACCACGTAGTGGTTCTTGTCGAAGGCGCGCTCGAGGCGCAGCAGCTGAGAGGGAGAGAAAGCCGTGCGGATCCGCTTCGGCTTCCGGGCGAAGGGCCCGTGCAGCAGCAGAGAGTCATGAGCCACCTCATTCCCTGAGAGAGAGAGACGGGGTGGGGGTGGGGGTCGGGGGTGTTCCTTGAGTTAGAGCAGTTAGAGCATGATAAACCTCTTGACTGCATAAATAAATCTGTAATCATCACCAGGGTTGAATGTGTCACCCAGACAAAACTTGCTGTTTCACTCTGAGCGCTTCCTGCTGCTTCTTTATTAAAACATTCTGCATTTGGCTTTTCAGTAAGGTGGTTTCTGATGTGCGTAATTTATATTTGGTGGGCTGTGTTAAATATAAATAATTATTTTAATAGGTGCGAAAACAACCATAAAAACTCTGCAGTGATTCCTCTTGAGTTAAGGCCGTAGTGTTGCTGGATGAGCTGCTTATTAGAGGCTGGTAGCTGACAGATTGCTTCTAGCAGTATTTCACTGGTATATTTTGTAATGACAGTCTTTGCACTGTGTTGGGTATTTTGGTACCCGGATAATGCATTACAGTCTATAGTTTGTGCAAATACATAACTAATATCGAGATGTCAATCTATCTGTGTTATATATATATTAATGTTTTATGTTATATTAACGACTGATTTTTAAAACAACAATATATGTCGTTTTCATCCATGGGCGCGTTGTCTAAAATCCTAAATAACGCAACTGATAATTAAATGCTTTAATAAATATACATTTAAAATTATTTGTTTTAAAATGTTTTCATAAATATACAATGTTTTATTCACATCTTTATTCATATTTAATATCTAAAAGGTCTTAGGAGTCAGGGAGAAAGAGTTTGTATGGAATCCGTGTTAAACACTAAGCGGACACTGTTTTGCATTGGATTTTGTTTCCATTCTGTCAAGGTAAACATGTTAATAACCTACACCTGTTAATAAAGGTATTCATTGCGCTTCGTTTGTCACTGGAGCGTTCTCAGCTCATCTACACAGTGCTATAACAGTCTGAGCTCTTACTGCATCTATTAGCCTCATCTATGCGTTTCTCTCAATGGCATCCTGCGGACCAAACCAGCTCTTTTTATAGGCTACAGAAATCCGGGCTAATTAAGATCCCAAAATGACAGTAAACAGAAGGTGGTGTGCAGCTGTAAAATCACGCGACGGATAATTATCATCGAGACGCCTCTCAACACCTTGACACCAATAGAGAACAACAGCAGAGAGAGTGTGGAGACGCTCGTGCAGGAGGCCGGTAAAACAGTGCTTTCACTATCAGACTATCCTGAGGTAACATGAGCGCGTGGAGTGCTGTGGTGAACTGCAGTGAACTTGGCCTTGACCTGTTGCGTTTGTAAATTTAGTGAATTCAAGACCGAAGACCACCCCCTCCAGTTTTATTAGCTTCATTTCTGAGGGAAAAAATAAATATTTTATCGCGTTTTTGTATGTTTGAGTCGTGTGCAGCGCTTGAGGGAGTTCACAACACTGAAGTCCAGCAGGTTAATCGGACAATTTCATTAAAGCAGGTGACATGAACTAGGTGTGAGTGTGGAGTAGGCCGGACAGCCTGGAGCTACACAGAGCTCAGAACAGTCTTTCAGAAATGTTTCTGCGAGACTTGAAGCTCAATATGGACACAGAATAATCTCATAAAAAAATAGAAATACATTATTTTAAATATGAAAGTTATTCAAGTACTCTACTGTGAAACTATTTATTATTAATAATAATAATTTACCATTATTATTGTTATTATTATTAGAAGTAATAGTAGTAGTAGTAGTAAACAATTTGACACGTAATGCTAAATGAACCGACACATCTATAATATTTAATTGACCTAACCGTCGATGTATAAATAGCGATAAACCGATATTTACCTTGAAACCGATGTCCGAAGAACCGGTTCCGTAGCACCCACGGATAGAAGTTGATGGGTTCTCGGTGCTGCGCGCTGAAGAAGTGAGGGTGCTGGAGGTGCGCGCCGCCGAGCTGGTGCGGGTGCGCGCTCAGAGGCGCGTGGCTCACTGCGTCCGGGAACACGAGCTCCGGGCTGGGGTAGAGCGCGCGGCTCGCGGGGCTCTGATAGCCGCCCAGGAAAGAGTCTGTGGGGGGCGTGTAGGTGAGGGCGGCGGGGCGCACGGGCTCTTCCCCCGATAACGGACTCTCCTTCGCCACCAAAGACTCGATGGTGAAGCAGCGCTTCCCCGCGGCCGAGAACAT